TAGATAGATAGATAGATAGATAGATAGATAGATAGATAGGTAGATAGCTGGAAAAGAGTGGGTGAGTAAAGGGGAGGCTAAGTGAGAGAATAGGAGCCTCAGTTGTCCAGAAGCATCAGCCCTTTCTTTGACAGGAGCCCTCACCCCAAAGTGGTGTTGGGCAGTGTGGGGAGACCTTGTTTAGGAGCCAGAAAACCTGGGCTCCAGTATTGAATCTGCCACTTACTGCCACACCTTCCTTTCTCTTACCCTCAGTTTCTCCACATGTAATGCAAGGAGGATATTAAGCTAGAGGATTTCTAAAGTCTCTCCCAAATCTGACATCCTATATCCCAGGGTCTCTCCCAGGTCTGACGTACCATGTTTTAAGGTTTCTTGAAGCCCTGACATTGCATGTTCTAACATCCTTCCTCTAAATTGAGCTATTCCATGGTTCTTTGATTATTCTGCACCCCCCGTCCCCGCCATGGTCTCAACTCCTTGGAGGAGTCTCGCTAAACTTTAAAGTGGGGAGGGGGAAGCAAGAGACTGGACCAATGGATTTCTTGGTTGTTCTGACACTGACCCACAATAGAAACACGGGGCCCAGTGACTCAGTGGTACCATGGTAACACACAGACAGACACAGATGCTGACCTCTCTGACACAGACACCCAGATCCACCTACTCAGTCACTGACCCTTAGACAGACAGACAGACAGACACTATTCCAGAAAGCTATTAAAATTCACAGCAGAATTTAATTTGATGCAGTTTAATTCCCCAAACAATGATGAAGGCTGGCTTCACTTGGCATCCCAGCCAGAGACCCAACAAACCCAAGGAGTGAACCACCCCAAAACCCTCCCTCCATCCTCTCCCCAGGGCTCCCAGCCCCAACTGTGCCTACAGGGGTTTGGGGGTGGGGGAGGGAGGGGCTCCCTCCAGCTGTTGAGCAGATCCAGATGAGGCAGAGGGGGTGGTGACCCCACTGGCAGGGGCAGGAGGGCGCGGTGGCCTGAGCTCATCAGATTCCAGCCGTAGTGACTCATGGGGGTAACGCCTGGGGGAGGGGGGTGCAGGATGATAGGTTCGGGGAGGGAAGATTTGGCCTAGGGGCAGAGCCAGGAGCTAGAGCCTGGACTCCGGGCTTCAGGGGCTGTGGAGAGGGCCAGCAGTGGAAGTTAGAAGTTCAGGGGTCTTGGGGTTAGGCAGGCTGCCTGGACCTGGAGCTGGAGAGAGGAATACGGTTGGGTGGGAGAAGGGCTCCTGGGTGCTGGAAGTGAGCTAAGAGACTAAGAGCGTGCAGATGCAGAGCTCAAGTTATGTGGGACCCGGGCCAGAGGCAGGCAGCATCCAGGCATGAGGACCCCTGAGTTCTGAAGGAACTAGAGGAAGAGAGAAGGGAATAATCCTCATATAGCACCTACTATGTACTAGGTATTGTGCTAAGACCTTTACAAATATTATCTCGATTGACACTCAAAACAACCCTGAGAGGTAGGTAATGTTATTCTCCTCATTTTACAGTTGAGGAAACTGAGGCAGGTGGCGGTTAAGTGACTTGCCCAGGGTCACACAGCTAGTGAGTATCTGAGACTGGATTTGAACTCAGCTCTCTCTGGTGCTCTATCCTCTGCACCACCAGCTGCCTAGTTAGTTATGCCAGAACTTGATTCATAGCGTCCCTGAAAGTGGAATGAGTGGTCTGGAGGAGCTGAGAGGGTTGGGGGCTTGGGGGTGCCTCAACTGGAGCAAAATTCCTGGCTTTTGGGAGGACCTGGGAAAATCGGGTCCACTCCTCTGCTGTTCTTCTCAGCTCTGTACTAGGATGAGGAAATAGCTCATGCGGCCCTCCCCACCCCATTCCAAGGGCCCCAGTGGGCCCATGACCCCCTTTACTGGCCCCATCCCCCACAGCTGTTTCTTTTTCATGGGTGTGGGGGGTGGGGATCACAGTGCAGGCAGACTCTGGGGAGGGGGGGCATGGCCTTCCTGAGCCCCCCTCTTTCTTCACCTTGTTGGGAATAGGAGTTTGGGCTTGGGGTCTATGCGCTGAGGGCCAGGGGACAGAGCTCTAACCCGGCAGTCAGGACATCTGGCTACAACTCCCAGCTATGCGTCTTAGCTGTGCAACCTTGGACAAATCCTTCCCATCTCTTTGGGATGCGGTTTCCTCACCTGTGCAGGTGATCTCAGAGGGCCCTCCCAGCTCTAAGGTTCTACGTTCTAAGAGCCTTCCCAGACTCGACATTCCATGTTCTATGTCCTCGGGTAATGATAATAGCTAGCATTTATATGGGGCTTCAGGGTTGGCCCAGCAGCTGATGCACATTTTTTTCATTTGATCCTCAGAACAAACCTGGGCAATAGGTGCTATTATGAACCCCATTTTACAGACTAGGAAACCGAGGCAGACAAAGCTCAAATGGCCTGCCTTGGGTCACGCAGCCAATAAGGATCTGAGGCGGGAGTTGAATTCTGGTCTTCCTGACTCTGGTGCTCTATCCACTGCACGACCTAGCTCTTTCTCACTCTCAGCTCTGCCATTCTATGTTCCAAAGACCCTCCCACCTCTGCTATTGCATGTTCTACATGCAAAGGGCCCTCCCTTCCAGCTCAAACACTCGGTCTTCTCTGGGTCGAGGAACAAATGGGATGAGGCAAGACAATGGGGGATAGCCTGGGCCGGGACGGGAAGTCAGTTCTGCTTTTCCCCAGTCCCAAAGCAGGGTGTCCTGGCTCAGGCCAGACTCCCCTCCCTGATCCGGGCTCTCCTCTCCAGAGGAGCTGACTCAGCTGGGCTGGAGGCGGGGGCAGAGGGAGCCAGGACTCGGTCCCCATGTCTCTCCTCCTTTTCTCTTCTCCTCTGCCTTTCTCCACTCATTCTCTTCTGCTGACTGTCCCTCCAGCACCATACCACAGCCCCTTCCCCCACCCCATAGCAACACCCCCTCCCCATGCTGGGCTTTGAAGACACAAAGTAAATATCCTGTCTGGTCCGGCTCCCCCTTTCCCAGACTGGCCGTCCCAGCCTCCAGCTCTGGGGCAGCCCGATCACCCCGGCCTGGGCCCTGGCGCCTGCCCCAGCCGGGGCCAGCGGGAAAGAGAGAGGTGTCGTCTTCTGGGACACCATCCAGGAGAGAGAAGAGAGAGTGATCGCCCCCAGGGATGGAGGGGGAGAGACAAGGCCAAAGAGGAAGGGAGAAGAATAGACATGCTCAGGGCAGGAGAGCCATTCCCAGAGGAGGGAAGAGGAGAGGAGGGAGACATCTGCCCCACACGCTTGCTAGATGTGTGGCCACCCCTGCACATGCTATTGAACCTCTCTGTGCCTCAGTTTCTTCTGCTGTAAAATGAGGTGGTGGGACTTGATGGCCCCTCGGGTCTCTTATGACCATCAGAGACAGAGAGAGATATCGTCAGAGATGGAGGAGAGACAGAGAATGGAGGAGCAGAGACTGGGGGTGGGGAAAAGGTCCAAGAGAAAGGGCTGGAGAAGGGTGGGGAGCAGAGGGAGCAGGGCAGGCCCCAGGGCCGAGGAGAGGGGTCAAGGGAAGAGGTCAGGAGGAGGCTGGGAAGGAGAGAAGAGAGTCTAGGCCTCTTTCAGGCCCTCGGGCGCGCTCCCTCCCTCTTTCCATTCTCCCTCCCTCTTTCCATTCTCCCCCAGATTGTCCCCATCTCAGCCTGAATCTGCACAGTGTCATCCTGGGGCTCGAAGGGAATTGTGCGGACTCAGGCACCATGGATGCCATCCATGGGCCGTCCCTCATGTGACAGGGGAGCACACGTCCACGCCGCTGGAGGAGGACCAGGGGATGGCCACGTGTTGAATCTGGGGGTTCCTCCCCTCTCCTCGTCTCTGGAGCCCCGACACTCCTCTGATTGGGGGTGAAGGCAGACGTGACCAGAGAGGGAAGGCTGCACCTGGCCCCAGGTGCCGATATCAAAGAGGCAGCAAAGGGGGCTCCCTGGGTCAGGGAGAGAGAGAAAGGCACGGACCCTGGAGCACCTGGCTTTTCTCCAGGTTGTATTAGGGGGAGGGG